AGTTTTGATGCAAAAACGCATGATCGCACCGGCTCGCCTGGTGCGTTCCAGCCTTTGTTGCATCTGCATACATGCAAAAACGCATGATCGCCTCGCAGGCCTAGTGCGTTGCATCCGGGTTAGAATTTTCATTAGTTTTCGTCCACAGCACGGTGTCTGCTCTTCTCACACATCCTATGAAAGCATATTATTTGACGGAATATATTGACGCCTTTTTTACTTCAGTAAAACTTTAAACCTGCAGCTAAATTGTTTTTGTGGTGACGATATACTACTGTACTGATTTTTTTTTGAAATGGACGATGGTTTAGGTGGAAGACTGGATCAAATCCGAAGGGTTGACACAAGGTGACAGTTATTCACAGATGACCGCCGTATGCCACTATTTGTTCACAATGGGTAAAAAACGGGACTACGATTTGATTGAAAACGGTTTGGCGAAGTTTAATGGTAAATGGACAACAACAATACAATTAGCGGCTTGCGTACGCAATGAGCGCATCCTGAGGAAGGCAGTTCAACAGATCATCGCAACTCGGAATGCAGCTATATATAACGCCGTACTACAGGTTCTGCAAAAGTGCTAAATCTAGTATGGAATTTTAGAAGGGTGCTTCCCATACGGCTTTCTTTCTTCAGACCCGCTGCTTCGGAAACATTGCTGTAAAAACATGGTACAGATAAATAAGCATAGTGAAGTCCCCTTTGCGATATTCACTTCTTGCAGTTCGTAAACGACTTCACACTGCCTGAAGTGCCGCAAAATGCACCTAGATTGAAAATGAGATCAGTTTTCAGAATAGCTGATGGTCTGAGCGGCCACACGGTTCGGGCTGAAGTTCCAAAAAGATGAAAAAACAAAAAAACCTTCGAGCCTGCTCCCCCAAAGGAAGCGAAAATGAGCCCTTTTTATAGAACCAAGTAAAGGCGCAATTGTTGTTCCTTGTATAAATTAAACTCGCAGATAATACATCTGTTACGTTTTGGCGATTTTTGAGCAAATTTTGCCCTCGAGCAGTCACTTCTATTCAAATCCCGCACAGGCGGCTTTATGCCGGAGCTGAATACATTCAAAGCGCGCATGAACGGAATGCTTTTCGGCTCAGCGAATAATACCCGGTGCACTCGCAAAAAAACTCCCAGCACAGGGCTTAACACCCTATGTTCATGTATTCTTTGTCAACGCCAAAACACGATATCTATTTCGTTTGTTGTGCGAATTTCGCTTCTGGGAAACTCATCCAA